TCACGCCAAACACACAAAATACACCATAAAGAATAAGTAAAAAAAAAAAGCCTTTGCCAAATTAAGAAGAATAGTGAAGATTAAAAATTTACAAGATCTAAAATTTCAACTGAAGGATCCATCATAGTTCACATATTTATATTTCAATCTTTTACATCGCCAATAGATCTTCTTAACAAATCTACAAACTATTTAAAATCTACACAATAACTATAATTAACAATGTTGAATTCCATTAAACCACGTATTACTAGAATTTCTTAATCAACTCAATGAAAAAAACACACATCGATTTACAGACTTTCATACATATAAAACTACTCTTTTCAAACTTACGTGCAGAAAATACATGATTTTACAAAAAAAACCACGCACAGATCTATCAAATAATACAAAATTCTGTGGGGAAAAAAAACAGAAAAGTAATCGAGAAAATAGAAATACTCACCAGAGCCATGGCTTCACAGTAGCAAATTGTTCACCCTTTATAACGAAATCAATCTGAAAATCAACAAATAAACCAAAAACTTTCTGAAGCCTCCAAAAATTTTATGACAATAAAAAACATACAAACCCAATAAGCAGTTATAATCCTCAATACAGAGACATAAGAAATAGCTCAGAAAAGATTTACTAGAAGAAATAGAAGATAAACGGATTAACTGTAAAGAAGAAACAAAACATGTCATCCTCTCCGTAAATCATTAACTGATTTTTAAAGGGGAAAGAGATTTCTTTCTTTCGGCAGGAAGAAAACCGCCGTCGCCGCCGCCGTGACCCACTGCAAGAGCGGCTGAGGCTTGATAAAAATGAACGAAGTCCCAATCGAGATGGTCCAGCCGTAGATCCTCCGCTACAAGGCGTTCGAGCCCATTCTTCTTCTTGGTTTCCACCGCTTTGCTGGAGTCGACATGTGTATCCGCATCAAGGGTGGTGGTCACACTTCCCAAATCTACGCAATCCGTCAGTCAATTGCTAAGAGAGAGAGAGAGAGAGAGAGAGAGAGATGGAAATGGAGAGGAGACGGTTTTGGCTGAGGAGAAAGAGATGAGGAGAAGACAAAGTTTTAGGGGAAATTAATTAGGGTTGGGATGAAAATTAAAGAGAGAAGGCGGTGAGAAGACATGAGGACGAGGAAAATTGAAAATGGTTGCTAGGGTTTGTTGGGATGAAAGTTGTATAATTAATATTTCATTAACAATAACGTGCAACGGACGTTGCTAAAATGTTAATGGCAACGTTCAAACGCGCGTTGCTAAAAGAATGAAAGACAACGTGCAATGAACGTTGCGAATAGGTTAATGGCAACGTTCAAATGCGCGTTGCTAAAAGAATGAACGACAAAGTGCAATGAACGTTGCTAAAAGGTTAATGGCAACGTTCAAACGCGAGATGCTAAAACATTCAATGGCAACGCGCGTT